AACAAGACATATGACAATATCATTAACTATTGTCACATCAAAGCTCAATACTAGAGCAATACATCTGCATCCTCACAATACTTTATCAATTCCATTTAGATTAGAAAGAAATGCTAACGAAAATAAAATTATAAAAGTTGCCACCATGAACAAGGTCAATACTAGTCAATACTTTTGTGTATAGCTGTATAAATATATATATATATATATATATATATATATATACATATATATGTGTATGTAAATGTATATACATAATATATACATCAGAAAATATTCTCCACTATTTAAAATTTGATAAAGATGTATGACAATACCCAGACAGCACAAGACATGCCAGGGAATGTCCCACTTGTCCTCACAATCTCCTAATATCGCGATATCCTATGAATATCCTATGAATATGCAACGGGACGTCTCAAAACCAAAGGACTCGAGCAGGTATAACGCTCGATTCACGAACATGTCGCTCTCGTACGCGCACGGCTTGAGACCTCGAAACGTATATGTTTGTCCCTTTCTCTTTCGTCGCGTCGGTTTTGCGTCCTTCGTCCTTTAAGGTTAAGCTAAGCGTCATCAAACAGACGCTTATATGTCGAATTATCATAGTTTTTGAGAAATAATAGTGAAAATTTTATTTGTTCTATATAATTATATGAGCGTGTGTTATAAATAATTAATATTATCTATCAAAATACTCTAAAATTGTGTAATAATAGTGGAAATTTTATGTGTTCTATATAATTATATGTGCGTGTGTGTTATAAATATTGCAGCCAACATATTGAAAAGGGGGCAGATATAAACGATGGTAATTAAAGCTTTCTGTATACTGTTATTTGAAATACTATGTTACTAGTACAAATAGAATTTTTAATTTAATGCTGACATTTCTACCCTGCCAGCTTTCCAGCAACCATGCCTAATTTTGTATCAAATGCTGTGTTTGAAAGAGGATTGAGAAAGAAGAAATGCTCTCCACTATGTTTGTTGGAGGAGTTTCAACTTGTGGAGGCTATATTTCTGAGCAAAAATATCAAAACACAATTGGTAATCAAAAGTTTATATAGATTTATTTTTATTTGTTAACTTTATCATATACTAAGCAAACTTTCTCTTTATATTCTGTATTTAGCCATCAGAGTCCAGCTATGAAAATCCATTTTTGATGATGGTTTGGACAAAGAATTTTGCTAGGGACGAGGAAAGGGCAAAAATAAATTTTGTGATCTAGTGCCTTGCGATGTCATCACAGGTAATTTATATATCTTATACTTATGATGTGTTGTAAATTATGAATTAAACTAATATATAATTAATTCCAGGAATTGCTTTGAAAAATTTGCCGCATGAGACATAGTTTACTGTTTCAGAGGCTGCAAAAAGCTGGCTGCGATGTGCCAATAAATATTATACAAGATATTTTTGTGAGATGTGTACTATATGTTTTTCCTATTTACAAAAAAATCATGATTATTGACTGGTTAGTTGTATCAATGTTAGTGCAAAATCTGTGCTGTGTACACATTTTTAGATGTAAAAAACCAAGTTTAATATTCACTCGTAATGACATCAAATTGTGTCGATATATTTGGAATTAGAGATTATTTTATAAATCTCTGTCTATTTTGATTGATGTATCGCTCTTAAAGAACTTACTCATATATATATATATACATATATATGCATTTATTCATTTGTTTTCTATTTCAGGAGAGAAAATCAACCATGAACTAGGATTGAATGCCGAATTAATTATATTTTTAATATTGTAAAATAAGTTATTTTGAATTAAAGTTGTATATATTAAATTTTGTTATAAAATTATCTCAGGATTTTGTTATTTTGTAATAAAAGTTTACTTTGTGAAATTGTGTTCTTTTATTTTATTTTTAATCCAAATTTATTTTTCATCTAAAAAGTAAAAAACAATTCCATAATTATATCCTATTCATGTCCGGTTTATGTCCGGAATATCCCGCGCGGGATATCCTACAGAACGTCCCATAGGTGCGACATATTAACATGTTTCGGATAAGGTCAGGATAAGCGGGATATCCGTAAGGCTATCGCAGGGACAATGAATGTCCGCGCGTGGATATCCTGTGGACATTCTCCGGGATGTCTTGTGTTGTCTGGGTATTATTAACTATTGTCACATCAAAGTTCAATACTAGGATAATATATCTGATGCATACTTACAATACATAGTTAATTCCATTTTTTTTAAATAAAATTGCATAAAGCCAACGCATTCGATAAATTTTTCAATAAAATGAGCTATATTCTCGAATGTTTAAAATTTGCCAAACTCAACAAATGTCAATAATATTAAATATAGTCACATCAAAGTTCAATACATAAATAATACTTTTGCATACTCACAGTACTCTGTCAAATCCATCTTCTGTAAAAAATTTACAAAAATGTACAAAGCCACAACACAAACATAACCTTCCATGAATTATCCGAAAATCAGCAAAAACCTGCAAATGACAATACAATTAAATAAAATGACAATGATGAACAATATTTTAACAATATTTCAGCATACTCACAATACTTCAATAATATTTTGTTATATTAATTGTATCACTTATTCCAAAACACATGTTGAACATAACCTCTGATATTTACACAATAATTATGGCGTTATTAGCTGATGACAATAAAATGCGTTATTGTCACACAATAGTACAATATTCAAGCAATAATTGTCCGAAGTGCCAACACTATAAAATCATTTTTTATATTTTTATTTCATTTCATAATATTCGCTCACAACTCACAACTTGCAACAAATTGCAATGAAGATGCTTTTTGTTAGTTTAGGAGTACCCGATGCGAAATAAACGTTAATTTTTTAAAAATTCAAATTCAAATTCAAATTGATCGAAGTGATAAATTTAAAAGCGGTAAATATGTATTATAATTTTTTCGTTAGGTGTAAGTGGCACAGTGTCTTAATATCGACGAAAGGTCAAATTTTGGCTCATACACACATTTTTTTCAAATTTGGGATCAAGTAACTCTGAATGACTTGAAATGTTGAGTAAATATAAAATAAGCAAGTCGGATTTTCTGGCAAAACAAACTTCTTCTCCGGGAAAAAATATATTAAATATTTTATAACATCTATAACAATTTGTTTTTATAAATTGCAAATCAAAATATTATATATTGTTTTTGTAAAGTGTATACAGCAAAAATGTGTATTAACAAAGTTTCAACAATTTTTTTTTTTTCAAGAACAATTTCATATAGTTTCTTATACTTAAAGTGAACTCCTAAAGTGACACTACTGTGAGAGCCAACAAGCCGCCCATCAAATATTTCTTAAGCAACATATTTTAAAAAAATTTAATCTTTATGGATCTAAATACATTTCATAGAAAAGTTACACTTCCAAAGACCAAAATATCACATTTACAAAATAAAATTCTTAATGAATTAACTCAGAGTTATAAATTTTGGAGCAAAAGTCTAAGTTTGGAGTTATAAATATTGAATGTCAATACAATTGACAATAATCAATATTATTTCCAATTGATTTCTTCCAAACATACTTATATGTATAAATTAAATTAAACTGTTTAACACATTTTATTTTATACATTTCGAGGCCTAAAAATGTATTTTATTTAAGTGTGGAGGTCAACTGTAATCAGTAGCTACCAACAAAACAGAGTACATAAAAGAAGAGTATTGTGATTCTTATTAGAAAGTATTGTAAGTATTCTGATTAGAATAATATTTTTCCAAATTTAGGGCCAAATAATTCAAAAGTCAGATTTTCTGGCAAAAACATAAGCTTCAAAAAGTTATAAAAAAATAAAATGTGCATTAATGCTATAGCATATAGCTAAACATGTATTACCCTAGAATTGTAAATTGCAAACCAAAATATTAAACAATAGTTTTTGTAAAGAACTTGTAAAGAATACAGCAAAAATGTTTTTGTATTATCATTAACTTTCCACCTTTTGGTTTTAGTTTCTTTTTTAAGTAAAACTTCTTTAGGCGCGACTAGAATGTAAATCCGTACAAATGCAACGGAAGTCCGTTACGGCGAAACAGTTCGTCATTCGCTCAGGATGAGATCATTTCTATACGGGTCGATTGTGATTAGTCGTCGTGTATGTGAATAGAGATCTGTCGTTGTATGCGAACCGGAATCAACGTTGTATGCGTACTGATATCGACAAAGAAATCGGCATAGATAAACATTTAAGAGTTACATTGTAGTACAAATCTTGATTTAATGAAAAATGCCTGAATCAGAAAAATATTTTACCATGTCCCCCGTAAATAATTATAATAAAAATAATAAAGCAAATTAAACAATTGGGCCGTATACTAAACGTAAGTTTATTGATTAGAAATTATTTCTATATTATTCGTAGTTTCCATAAATCTGTGAAGTTATTAAAATGGAAAATATTTTTTAGGCAAGAGAGATATTACAGCTGTTTAAAGAATGAGATTATATCGCCAGCAAAAAAGTAAAAAAAATACCATCAGTCAATAAATGTATGCTAATTTTAATTACATGAAGTTCTTCAAACACAATTACATGATGGGTGAACACAATTACATGAAGTTGCAAAATCAATATTTGTTTATGTGTCGTTTAACTTAATCCACTTAATCCAATTTGAAGTACCATATTCAAAATTACATTTAATTTAAAGATCACATAAATCTGTTATGAAATAAAGACGTTTAATCAATTTGGTCTTTTGGTTTACAAAATAAATATAAAACCTATTGTTGATACAAAAAATTACAATAAAATTATTATTATTATTTCTATCAGCAGTCATGTATCAGTTCCTGATTATGTAAATCCATTATTGAATACTTATAATTACCCCAACATTTGTCCTGTCAAGCTTTATGAATATATGAATGCCTTCTTGCATATCTTACATTTGTGTGGTTGGACACCAATGTGAATTTGCATATGCTTATTCAAGACACTTGGATCTGTGAATGTCTTATCACATATTTTGCCTAGAGTGAATGAGCATATGTCGTTTCAAGACACTTGATTGTGCAAATGCCTTATCACATATTGTACATTTATTTGGGCGTTCCCCAGTGTGAATGAGCATATGTTGATTCAAATTACCTAACTGTGTGAATGCCTTACCACATATTTTACAAATATGAACACGTTCACCAGTGTGAATGAGCATATGTCGTTTCAGGATACTTGATCGTGCAAATGCTTTATCACATATTTTACATTTGTGAGGACGTTCCTCAGTGTGAATAAACATATGACTTTTCAAGTCTCTAGATTGTTTGAATGTTTTGCCACATATTTCACATTTTTCAGGACGTTCCTCGGTGTGAGTTGGCATATGTTGATTCAAGTTACTTGATTGTCTGAATGCCTTACCACATATTTTACAAATATGAGAAAATTCCCCAGTGTGAATGAGCATATGTCGTTTCAAGACACTTGATCGTGCAAATGCCTTATCACATATTGTACATTTGTAAGGCCGTTCCTCACTGTGAATGAACATATGTCTTTTCAAGTCTTTAGATTGTTTGAATGTTTTGCCACATATTTCACATTTATTTGGACATTCCCCAGTGTGAATGAGCACATGTTGATCCAAATGACTCGATCTTATGAATGCTTTATCACATAGTTGACATTTATAAGGTCTCTTTGCAGTATCAGCATGAATATTTTGTTTTCGATTACCAGATTCATTCAAGTGTAAATTTTGTTCTCTGGCACGAGCACAAATGTGTTGATCTAAATCAAATTTATTAAATGCTTCATGACACTTTGTACATACGAAATGTCTTTCATCCATATGAATTAACAGATGTCTTTCTAATGTACTTGCTTCTGGAAAAGTCTTTGAACAAAATGTACATTCATGTTCATGAACTACCATATGCTGTTTTAAATTGTGCAGACCTGTAAATGTCTTATCATAGTTGTCACATTTATAAGAAGAACTCTGAATTAATTCCTGTTGGAGTTCTTCTTCTATCTTTACTACAGAGTTCATGAACCCCTTCAGACATGTTTCGTCATCCTCTGAGCTGGATTCAGGGTCTTCATCAATTTCCTCTTTGATGTCTTCGATTGGATATTCTTGTGGTTCAATTTTAATTATCGGATCATCAACAGCTTCTGACATTTTGAAATACTTGTGCACTGCATGTATTCTGTAAGTATTGACAAAAGTAGTTAATTACTATTTAATGAGCTATTGCTAAATCTGATAATTTAACTAGTTATTGACAGTTCGAGAATAAAATGTTTTAGAAAGAAAATCATTCATCCAGTTGTAATATTTCACAGAATGGATTTATATCTTAATCAAGTTTTACCTTCAAATCTATTTTCACATTAAATTAACTGTAGTCAATTTTGAATAAAGTATGTCTTCAAGATGACCCCTTCCTCAAAATCTTTTTGACAGATGTGAAACTATTTGTTTCACACTTTTGGCTTATTGCAGAACTGAAATATAAAAAAGCACGATCGAGCTTTAATTATCCATTGCCTACCTATATTAAAAATTAAATATTTATAGTTCTTTCTGTATGAAATAAATATACTAAAAAGTTAATCATGATAAATAACCTCAAAGTATTTTACACTACCTTTATGTTTATCAATTAATCTCATAAATACTGCACTTTAAAATAAAATAATAATTATACTTATATCTTTATAGAATATATTTATTATAGCATTTAATCAATATCTCTGTTAATAATTAAATAGATGACAAATAAAATGTAAGATCAGTTCATTAAATAATTTGTTTGACAGTTAAACGAACTTCGATTGAACATGGCGGCGTTCTATTGTCAACGTTGCCAACATAAGAATATTAACGAGATATTTATTTCAAAAATAATTAATTAATTTATTTTATTTTATTACAAAAATGGTTAAACTTGTGGAGTATAGAAGTCAACAGCAGCAAGTCAAAACACATAATTTTAACTCTTTGCAAAGGGACTTGTCCTGCAGTAAGACTTAATGACAAAATTATAGATCAAACAGATACAGTCAAATATCTAGGTTTACACCTGGAAGGAACACATTAAGAAAAAGAGGAAGCAGCTTGAAGAAACCAAAAGAAGATATTATTGGCTCCTCGGACAAAAATCAAAACTTGACACGCATAATAAAATTTACCTCTATGAAGCTATCATTAAACCAATTTGGACATACGGCATACAGCTATAGGGATCAACTTCCAACTCAAACGCTTTAATAATTCAAAGATTTCAAAACAAGTTATTAAAATAAATTTTGAAAGCACCAAAGTATGTTCCAATTTGGTTAATACACAAAGACACAGGCACTAGCACAGTTAAGAATAAAATAATCGCTTACTCACACAAATATAGAAATCACCTAGCTGATCACCCGAATTGCTCGCCAGAAAACTTTAGAACAGCTCTACCAGGGCCCGATTAAAAAAAAAATTCTTCTGTATTAATCAACAATAGATAAGACCTTCGACAAATCACTGGCAATGGTCAGCTGATTTGTATTTTGCCAATGCTTTCAGTTTTATGACAAATATTTTACTTGTTGTCCGTTTCAGGACAGTTGTAAATAAAAAAAAAGAAAGAAATAAAAAAAAAAAATTATTAATTATTAAAGTTAACTAGCGATCCATGGCATGTCAAAAGACATACACGTTTTTCCCTTCAAATTTTCATATCAAAAAGTGAATGTCCATGCTTTTTCACTCATTTCAAACGTCTCAAACATATACATATTTTTCCTTTCATGTCAAAAATCCATGGATTATTATGTTATAAAGCACCAAATTCAAAATTATATTTAATTTAAAGATCACATAAATCTGTTATGAAATGAAAACGTTTAATCAATTTGGTCTTTTGGTTTACAAAATAAATATAAAACCTATTGTTGATACAAAAAATAAAATTATTATTATTAACTTCCCGTAGGGTAGTAATAGTAATGGGCCGAAAATCGAAAATGAAATGTTTTGCATATCTTTACGTTTTGAAGGTTTCTGAACATTTTGGCATACCTCACAAAAATGGATGTATGTGTGTGTGTGTTTTGTCCATGTTTTCGAGCGCACGGTTCAACCGATTTGAATTGTTCAAAAAACATTCGTTTCCTATTGATAGGGAGATGTACTGATTAGTTTTTGGCAAAGGCAGCTCCAGCCGTGACGGAGATACAAGGCAAAGAGTGCAGAAAATAGAAATAGAGTTTTTGAGAGAACGGAGTATCCGGTTTGAATGATCTAAAAACATCCAATTTGTAATGATTGGGAGGAGAGGTGATTAGTTTTTGGCAAAGGTAGGTCCAGCCATTTCGAAGATACAGAGCTAAATATGCAAAAAATTGCAGTTTTGAGAACTAAGGGTCCGATATGAATGATTAAAAAACTTTCTGCTCGTTTTAACAAAACAATTTCTTTCGGAAAAAAAATATTGTTTGAAATTTTTTTTTTCAAAAATTTATTGTTTATATATTTCTTAAAAATATTAGACAATGTTACAATATTTATTTATGATAAGCTATTTGAAAACACTTAATATTCCTGAAACATTTCGTTACGGTACAAGAACTTCCAACAATTTGCCTTAAGGCACAATGCCATACACCACTAGTTTCTATCAGTCATGTATCAGTTCCTGATTATGTAAATCCATTATTGAATACTTAAAATTACCCCAACATTTGTCCTGTCAAGCTTTATGAATATATGAATGCCTTCTTGCATATCTTACATTTGTGTGGACGGTCACCAATGTGAATTTGCATATGCTTATTCAAGACACTTGGATCTGTGAATGTCTTATCACATATTTTGCCTAGAGTGAACGAGCATATGTCTATTCAAGCTACTCAATTGTCTAAAAGTCTTATCACATATTGTACATTTGTTAGGACGCTCCCCAGTGTGAATGAGCATATGTTGTTTCAAGCTACTCGAATGTGTAAAAGTCTTATCACATATTGTACATTTGTTAGGACGTTCCCCAGTGTGAATGAGCATATGTCGTTTCAAGCTACTCGAATGTGTAAAAGTCTTATCACATATTGTACATTTGTTAGGACGTTCCCCAGTGTGAATGAGCATATGTTGTTTCAAACTACTCAATTGTCTAAAAGTCTTATCACATATTGTACATTTGTTAGGACGCTCCCCAGTGTGAATGAGCATATGTTGTTTCAAGCTACTCGATTGTCTAAATGTCTTATCACATATTGTACATTTATTACAGCTTTCACCAGTGTGAATGGGCATATGTTGATTCAAATGACTCAAACGTATGAACTTCTTACCACATATTCTACAAATATAGGCTCGTACACCAGTGTGAATGAACATATGATCTTTCAAATGGCACAAATGTATAAACTTCTTACCACATATTCTACAAATATGAGCTCGTTCACCAGTGTGAGTAAGCATATGTTTATTCAAGCTACTCAAATGTGCAAATGCCTTATCACATATTGTACATTTATTAGGGCGATCCCCAGTGTGAATAAGCATATGTTGTTTCAAGCTACTCGATTGAGTAAAAGTCTTAGCACATATTGTACATTTGTTAGGACGTTCCCTAGTGTGAATGAGCATATGTTGTTTCAAGTTACTCAATTGTGCAAATGCCTTATCACATATTGTACATTTATTAGAGCGTTCACCAGTGTGAACGAGCATATGTCTTTTCAAACTATCCAATCGTAAGAATGTCTTATCACATATTGTACATTTGTTACGAAATTCCCCAGTGTGAATGAGCATATGTTGTTTCAAGCTACTCAAATGTGCAAATGCCTTATCACATATTGTACATTTATTAGGGCGATCCCCAGTGTGAATAAGCATATGTTGTTTCAATCTACTCGATTGAGTAAAAGTCTTAGCACATATTGCACATTTGTTAGGACGTTCCCCAGTGTGAATGAGCATATGTTGTTTCAAGTTACTCAATTGTGCAAATGCCTTATCACATATTGAACATTTATTAGGGCGATCCCCAGTGTGAATAAGCATATGTTGTTTCAAGCTACTCGATTGAGTAAAAGTCTTAGCACATATTGTACATTTGTTAGGACGTTCCCCAGTGTGAATGAGCATATGTTGTTTCAAGCTACTCAAATGTGCAAATGCCTTATCACATATTGTACATTTATTAGAGCGGTCCCCAGTGTGAAGGAGCATATGACGATCCAAATAACTCAATCTTATGAATGCTTTATCACATTGTTGACATTTATACGGTCTCTTTGCAGCATGAATATTTTGTTTTCGATTACCAGATTCATTCAAGTTTTGTTCTTTGGCACGAGCACAAATGTGCAGATCTAAATCATATTTATTAAATGTTTTATTGCAATTTGTACATTTGGAATGTTTTTCCCCTGTATGAGATTTTAGATGTATTTCTAATGCACTTGCATCATGAAAAGTCTTTGAACAATCAGTACACTTATGACTATGACTTACCATATGCTGTTCTAAATATTGCAACTTTCTAAACGTACTATTACATTTATAAGGAAGATTCTGAATTAATTCCTGTTGGGGTTCTTCTTCTATCTTTACTATAGAATTCATGAATCTCTTAAGACATGTTTTATCATCATCTGAATATTCTTCAGGCTCTTTTTCTATTTCTTGTTGAATATTTTCAATTGGAAATTCTTCAGGTTCAATTTTAACTATAATTTCATCTAATTGTTTTGTGGAACAAGGACAAATGTGTTGATCCAGATGATATTTTGTAGTAAATGCTTCATCACACTTTGTACATACAAAATGATTTGCAACCGTGTGACTTCTCAGATGTACTTTTAATGTACTTGCATCTGAAAAAGTCTTTGAACAATCAGTACACTTATGACTATGATTTACCATATGCTGTTCTAAATTATGCAACTTTCTAAATGTTCTATTACACTTGTTACATTTATAAGGAGGACTCTGAATTATATTCTGTTGAGATTCTTCTTCGATTTTTACTATGGAATTTCTGAACCTTTTCAGACACGTTTCGTCATCCTCTGAATAGGATTCAGGGTCTTCTTCAATTTCCTCTTTGATGTCTTCGATTGGATATTCTTGTGGTTCAATTTTAATTATCGGATCATCAACAGCTTCTGACATTTTGAAATACTTGTGCACTGCGTGTATTCTGTAAGTATTGACAAAAGTAGTTAATTACTATTTAATGAGCTATTGCTAAATATGATAATTGAACTAGTTATTGATAGTTTGAGAATGGAGTGGATTTATCCAGTTGTAATATTTCACAGAAGTGTGTAAATCAATATCCAGATTTCCTCAATGGTTGGATTTATTTTTTAAGCAAGTTTTATATTCAAATCTATTCTTACATTAAATTAACTGTAGTCTGTTTTGGACAATGTATGTCGCCAAGATGGCCCCTTCCTCAAAATCTATTCGACAGAAGGTGAAACTATTTGTTCCAAACTTTTGGCTTATTGCAGAGCTGAAATATACAAAAGTACAATTTAGCTTTAATTATCTATTGCCTACCTATATTTAAAATTAAATATTTATAGTTCTTTCTGTATAAAATAAACATTATGACAAATTAACCTAGTGACATAACCTCAAAGTATTTTACACTACCTTTATGTTTATCAATCAATCTCACAAACACTGCCTTTTAATACACACTACTAATTATACTTATATATTTATATAATATATTTATTTTAACATTTAATCAATAATTATGTTGAATAATTAAATAAATAAAAAATTAAATGTTTCATCAGTCCATTAAATAGTTTGTTTGACAGTTTGACAGTTTGACAGGTGAAGAAACTTCGTTAAACAAACTGAATATGGCGGCGCTCCTATGTCACTGTTGCCAACATAAGAAAATTTGCGAGATATTTATTTCAAAAATAAATTTTATTTATTTATTAATTATTAACGTTAACTAGATGGCGTCGTGCATTAAGGCAAATTGCTGGAACTTCTCGTACCGAAAACTAAAATTTTCAAACAAGCTTTGAAATTTTTGAAAACTTTGAAAAAACAAGGTTTTTGAAAATTTTGATTTTTTTTTTCAAATCAGTCATGATGCTGCGTGGCTGTTTTAAAGAAGAAGTATCAAAGTGCGAGAAAATTATATAAACACACTTAACGATTTATATATCGTTTTATTCGTAATTTTATTCTGCATATTTTATCCAAATAACATTTTTTCGTATCTTCTAGGGCTTAGCTAGATGGTTTAGTAGAGTGCAATGTGTATGAATATTCAAATGTTGAAATGCAAAGTTTTTTACTCACTTCAAACATGTTAAAAATATTCGTAAAAAAGTCATTGACTAAAAGTCTATTGTGCTACTTGTAAGGAAACGGTGTTTATATATATATATAATATATATAAACAAAAGATATATACATTGTATATATCATTTACTGTAATACTATAAGAAAAAACAAATTTTGATTTTAGATCTTTAAAATATTTATTTATATATATACTATCATTTATTTATACTCTGTTTTACATCTGCGAGGTACTCATATACTTATTTATTTAAAAATTAACTAATTAAACATAACAAATTTAATTTATTAAATTATACATTTATTTATAATTAGAATTGTGAGACTTTTATTAATAATAGTTATTAGATTGTAGTTAAAACTATAGTTTTCGTTTTTATTAAGATCGAGTACTAAGTACTATTGATATGTACAGTTTTACCATCGAGGAGACAAATTGTCTCGAATATTTATATATAATAAGAAATATTTTAATTGTGCAGGAAAATTTAAGCCATTTATATATATATATATATATATATATATATATATATATATATATATACTAACTGACCTGTTCATAAAAAATATTTATAGGATTTTTAGTATAAAAAATAACTAATTGTATGCAAGTATGCAGTATACAAGTAAAAGGGGCAGCCAACACAAATTATATGAAAAGTTTACCCACTGCAAAGCATGCCACATATAAATGTTCGCACAAATATAATTAAAATATAAATGTTTACCACAAATATAAGTAAAAGGGGCACCTAACGCAAATTATATAGAAGGTTTACCCACTGCAAAGCAAGCCACATGTGAATGTTCATGAGGCATATTGATAGTCGACTAATTTTTTACAATTCTAGAAAATTTTACAGCTTTACCGTAGGTATTCAGTTCTCTTTCAAAAACTGTTTTATCTAAAGGTTCTAATATTTCTTTTTTCAATTACAAATTAAAAAAATAAAATAAAGAAAATTGATACCAAAATTTAAAAACAAAGATGAGGGTAGACAAGTTACTCGAATAACGGAAAAATAAAGTAAAATTTTTTATCTATAGATTTTAATAATCAGTTTTTTCAATTCCGCATTGACAAAAAATTATAATGAATAAATTTGATACCGAAATGAAAAAAAAAGAGATGAGAGTGGACAACCCTTAATAAATAATAAGAGATTTTTTGAACTTTTAAACATGGCATTTTTCGAAATTAAGTACAAAATACTTATTGACTGTTTATTTATAGAAAATTTAAATGGAGAAAGTTGATCCCAGAAATAGAAAAAAATGTTAGATTTGGACAACCCTTGACTAAAAATAAGTTTTTTTAAGTTAAATTTAAGCTTTTTTAATATTTTGGTCGAATTTGAATCGAAACTCAGTAAAAAACATTGACTGAATGCCTGATGAAAATTTTCGAAATTGGGGTTTGTAGTAGAAGGGTGAAAATTTAGGGCTCTACGTAATTTTTTATTTATAATTATAAAATAAAATTGAACAAATTAAAAAAATGAAAAAAAAATTTAAGGATGACCAACTCTTATTATTTATAGTTAAATAGATAATTCTCAGTCATACTAAACGTTATTATATTTCATAAAAATCGGTCAAGCAGTTTCGGAGGAGTATTGCGACGAATAACATGACGAGAGAATTATATATATATATATATATATATATATATGTTTAATTTGAGTTTAATATTCGGGCGTAACATCAATAAAAAATTTTTTATTGATGTTACGCCCGAATATTAAACTCAAATTAAACATATATATCAACATCAAATTCAAGAATATTCAAAAATATATATATATATATATATATATATATATATATAAATGGCTTTAAAATTCCTGCACATTTTCTAATCGATGATCACATTGTCATAGTTTTTTCAAAAACTACAAAAAAATTACTTAAACCTATTAAAACTATTAGTTACATAGTTGATCCATTGAATTCGTATATATATAATAATATTAAACTTTTAATTTGAGATTTTCAATAACTTTATAATACAGACATTATTTTTAATATGGTGTGTGCAACATAGTCTTTAAAGTTCGATTTATATTTTTGGCACATACTTTTATTTAATAAAATTATATGCAAAAACATAAATAATTAACTAATTATTTTAAATCGATAAGTCTTCGATTAACAAATCCACAAAAAAGTAAATGCATGTAACAACGATAAGTTGAAAAAGGAATTTAATATATATTGATCAAACTGTCTGTGGAATACTTAGAGTATTTATTTTTGTTTATATTTCATAACATTTTTTTTTTAAATTCTAATAAACCAATAAAAACATGGTTAAATTTCTCATGGATCGTTTTTACAAGAAAGTGTATTCTAATTACATCGAAGATTTACCGAGTGACATATGTGGAGTAAACATACGTAACAACTAAGTAACTAGGGTTACGTTGCATCACGGGTTTTGTTACGTATCTATGTTTACTGGGTCAAATTTTAACTATAAGGCTTAAGAAAACTATTATGTTTATATTTATATATATATATATATATATATATATATATACACACATATATAAATCTACTTTTAAGTTTTAAGACACCAACATTGGACTTGGAATTGATTTGTTTTATAACTGTTTTTAATAAATTTTTTCTATAAAACATATATATATCCAAAAATCTATTAAGATTAACATTCATATATATATTTTTATATATTTTAAATTTCAGAAAAATATTAAATATTTCTATCGACGAAAATATATATATGTGTATTCCATAAATTGTACTATAATACAGTGAAATGCTACATGCTTGTTACGTAACATGAGTAGCGTAGTGTTACTGTTTTTGTTGGGTATATATTTTTTATATACATATTATATATATATATATATATATATATATATATATAAATATATATATATATATATCTAAATATATATAAATAAATTCTATAAATTGTACTATTATACAGTAAAATATTTCATACCTGTTACGTGGTCTGTGTAACATAGTATTAACGTTTTTCTTACGTTTTTGCTAAGTTTATATATATATATATATATATATATATATATATATATATTTATTTATTTATCCTGGTAATGGAGCTTGTTCATAGAAATCAGGTTCATCTTCTGTCCTTCCATCAGGTTGTTTACCGTCCAGCTAAAAATTTAATTCAAAATATATTAAAAATGCAATGACAAGTAAAAAATTGATACATACCACACCAGGAAAAACAATAACAAAAATTTGAAAAATATAGAAAATAAACAATAATATAATGATTTTTTTTTTAAATTTAAACTAAAGAATTATGTACCGTTCGTTGCAAGCAACGAACCGAGCGCGCCAGATGAAAAAACCGAGGATTCACGAAAGATGTAAGAGAGGGTTTCAAGGATAGTTAAACAGTGGGGACGCAATTAGAGAAAATAAAATACAAAAATATGAAAATATAAAATCAGATTCTAAGATTTGAAGAATTATGTTTTGAAAAATTGATACGAGTCATGTACTAATAGAGCAGAATTTCGTTTATTAACGCAAAGGGAATTTGAAAAATAAATAGAGAATTAGCAAATTTTCTAAGGTCACCATTGTTTTCCTTATGTAAAATTATAGGATTTTTGGTATTGAAAGTATGGTTCAAACTAATAACATGTTCAGAAAACATTGTCTTATATTGATTTGGATTTTTTGTAATTAAATGTGTTCGTTTATTCTCTTGTAGATATATTGCGAACTTTCGTCAATATAACAACAATTACTGTCCACTTTGTAAACAACAGTGATACACTCAATAAGAATTTTAGATATCAAGGAAGTGAAAAACGATTTGAAAGTATTGTCAAAATATAAAACTAACAAAAAACCTTCATTTAAAAACATTTTTTTTAGAAAAAGTGAGAAACTACCTAAATAAGTCAAAGAAAAAACTCTAAATAAATATATAATATTACTTACAGCTTGCAATTCTTCAGGAGAGAAAATCTTCGCCAATTTCTGCCTCAGCGGCACCATCATGATCAGGAAGAACGGGAAGGCCAATGAGGCTCGACTGCTCTTAACAACCCACAAGAGAGCAAGAGCCACTAATTGGACACAAGTGAACAGATGCATCTTGTATGTTTGGACCTACCAAAAAATAAGATATAGAACCTATTGTAGTAGGTAACGTTAGGTCATTATTCCACTTACCCTTCTGACGTAAGGAACTCTTGGATGATGTTTGACAGGCATGAAGAACAATTGAAGCCTATCAAAGAATTGGACACCACTGGTAGACGAGACACCCATATACAAAAATACTCCGAAAAGTACAGACATTGGCACCAGTCTCAGAAGATTGGACATCAGCACTGACAGACCGACCAGCAAAGAGACGAACAGGGCACTCAAACGTTGTTCTATAAAAAAATAATATGATCATCCTGATACTTCATACATAGTTATTATCTTATTTACTTACCTTTGACTTCAACTATATGTGGCGCCTCTCCAGGAGCGTGTGTCCTGGACATGACTGTTAAGGCAGCGACGTGGGTGACGGAACGTACAGTGGCAGCACAATGCCAAGGAGCTCCCATGACACCACAAACTGCATTGAGAATACAGATCACTACAATATCCATATGGAAACCTGAACCTTTCTTCAAATTTCTTTCCGGCTTGTCAATGATCAATCTGGAAAAAAATAAACATAGATGTAATGGAAACAACTTGTTATATTTCATAGCCAAAATTTGAGGCTCCAAAATATAACCAAGAACTATACAATGGATAAATCCTGGAAATATATCTTTTTCCTCCCACTTACTCAGAAATATGGGTCTCCATGAACACCAGGATGTAAACCAAGACTCCAGGGACAACGCTTGCAAACATTGCCCAAACTGGGAATGGATTTTCAGGGTCTTTGCCCAATAGAGGGATTATCCAGCCTCTGTTCTCTGGATCACTGGGTGATAGTCCTTCAGGAACACTCAGTTTGTCTGTGTACGTGCCTGGGACTAAATAATCGATCGTCACCATGATAACGATCGCGATGGGGACACCGAAGTCGCCTAGTGCACGCCTGGCCTGGGAAAGGATAGAAATTGATGGTAAGTAGTGAGTTTTTGTATATTTAGGCTTGAGGTTAAAAAACTAAAAGTTTGGTAGCTCCAAATACGTTTCTGTAATATTATTTTTATTTCCTTATTTCTTTCTACTTACATTTCGTCCCAAAAAGTGTCCATTCCTGAAAATCCTCAAATAATAAGCAATTGTGAAAGTTCCAAGCGCCAAAATGAGGCAAAACAAGGCCGTATTAGGTTGATTAATCGGCCCTAAAGCATCACTAGTCGGCAACTTCATAGTTTCATTCGACGACTGCATGGTCCAAGGATCACTCGTTCCGTTCCCTGAATCTTCATAGAAATTAAACTCTGTTGTATAGTTTCCATTGCTCTCGGTAGTATAGTTGGAATCATCGGTTGTTCCAAATAATCCACCAGTCAAAAATGATAAAGTGCAGTAGTCTCCTAATAGTGGATTTCTTTTGAAGACGTAAATCAATTTCATTATGGACTCGAAGATATAAATTAAGGAGATCAAAGCTGAGAAGATTTCTTCAGTGAAACGCGTAAAAAGTTTCACCAGCCTGCTTCCTTCCACGGACGCGACCACGATGGCGGTGATGGCCATCCAGAAACCTAGATAGAAAAATAATATGCAAATAACCATAATCCTAAGAAAATCCACTTTCTAAATAAACTTACCCATATAAAGCCTGCATGTCAAGAAATCTATATCATTATTGACACAAAATTGATATAAACTTTCATCTAAAAGGAGCAGAGGTCCGGTTGTTCCTATGATGACCATAGGTTGACCAGCTATCAGGGCAAAGATGATTCCGCAGCCAGAGGCGGCGACCAGGGTTTCAGAAATACCTAAGAAAAGAAAATTATGGGCAGGGTAGAATTAGTTTGAGATATTATTGTTATAGTAGACACGGTAATGAATCATATATGAAAATTCTATGTTTGTGGTGCAAACACTGCGATCTGCAGAATTCAAAGGTTCTTCTAGTATTCTAGTATTTTTCGGCTACTTTTTGATATTTTTCCACTTACCGATTAAATTATGAGTTTTATCGCTGAGCAATCCTCCAAAAGTTATCGCTGTCGATAAAGCAGCAAAATACATGAAAATAGTAGCAGCAACACACTGTGAATTCAATCCGTCTAGGTAGTCAGAAATGTAAAATGGAAATCGGTATCGCATGTCGTTAATTAAACCACCAAAAGCTTTTCCAGTCTTCTCTAAAGGTTCACGTCTTACTAATTTCTTTCCTGAAATAAAAAATAATAGAACTAGGTGCAAGTGGCATTTTGCCTTAAGCCATAATCTACCTGATATGTATAAATAATCGGCTTAATCAATAAGCAATGAATATATTAATTTATAAGTGATTTATAAGTTGATGTTATTGACAAACACTTGCTGTATTCAAAAAAGTATTTAATTTTCCTATTCTATTCAAAAAGACCTTTCAAACGATACCCCACATGCCATAAGAATATAATAAAAAGAATTTGAAATAAAACTTGATTAGACTTTCAAAATTATCAAATGCTTTAACTTTCCTATAGTCGTAAATAATCGAATTTTATAAAACCAGTTCAGACGTTCTCCAAAAATATCAAAAAGGGAATATACGACAATTTTATTCCAAAATCATAAGGAATCATAAAGATAACAAAAACAACGTCTAAGTTGCATAAAAATGTATTCAAAACAACAAAAATACACGCATGCATATTATTTTTTAAATATTTCTAATAGTTTCATGGTTAGTTTAAAGGCTAAATTAGGTTTTCTCCTTTTATCGTTTGTGGCATTATGGTTGTCGTTGTCCCTGGTCCAGATTTTGGACGAAAAGCGAACTTTGCGCCTGGCAGAGACTAAAAAATTTGCTAGAATTAGTTTCCAGGATGTTCAACAACTATTGATTACGGGAGACATAGGTAGACAAAATTAGTTGTATTGACACACTAGACGGTGTTGTGGCATAAAATACTTTATAAAACAGAACAAATCGTGTAGATAGTTCAATTTATCAAAATTTTTCTGAAGGCACAATCAAGTGATCACCAATGATTCACTAATTATGCAAAAAAAACTATATAAAATCCTTATCTGTGATAAAAACATTTGTTCTAAATATGCAACTTGTCAATAGGCAAATCCAGAATACTATTTTGCATATGAAATATCATTTAAATGCGCTCAGAGATTAGACAGCATATATATCAATTAAAATCATCTCACCTCCACTTCCTCCAGTCTTCTTCTCGTCTCCTCCTTTCTTCCCGTCCCCGCCATCATCACCGCCGCCACCAGGGCCTCCTTTATCACCGCCCAGTGCAGCCTCCTTAGCCTCTTTGGCACGCCTCTGCCTAATCTTCTCGCTCTTGGCTTTGATTTCGTCAAATGGCAACAAGGCCTGGCGCTCCCAATCGCCTGGTGGAAGCACTATGGAGTCGTCCAGGAACTCGTTGATGGCAGACAGTAGTTCTCTTCTGTCTTCCGCTTTGTAAGCCACCTAGTAAAAAAAACAATAGATGATTTTAGTACTTAAAGTTAATTTTCGATTAAGACATTTTCTTCTTACTTGATGGAATGGTCGGTTTGCCATCAAGGTAGCTATAGATCTGCCGACTTCGTGATAGTCCAGGTCAGAATCGTCGGGTCCTAGCAAGACAAACATGAATCGGACGGGTATTGGAACTTCGGTCAAAGTCGGCATTTGCACCCCGGATGCGAGACGCACGAAGGCAATGGTCGGATGATCCAGAAAGTCTACGGAACCGACCAGGACTGTTGTTGCTTCAGCACCTGGAGAAGGAAAAGAGTGTGATTGATGGTGGTTTTTGGCGCAGAAAAATCTACAGTCTGTGGTTAAATAATGCAAAATAATTAAAGAAACATCTTTCTCATACCGGTTGGTATCCTCCTCAAGATAGCTTCGTTATGAGTCTTTTTATAAAGGTCCTCTTGTGATGCAGAATAAGTATTTTCTTCTTTCATATCCACACGGGTCTCCGAAGCCCCAAGACGACGATTAGACCCCAAAGCATTCCTCGTCAAAAGGTCGATGTGTAAAGTTGAAGAGGGGAGGTCTCGTTTTTTGCCTTTGTCGTCAGATAAGTTCTAAAAAATTGGAAAACAATTGTAGATTTTCGCCTCAGTATTTGCTTTTTAACTCGTGCAAATAATTGAGAATATAAAAATGTATTCCAACTATACAGCATTCCAGCGTTCCAACAATGTCAAAACCAAAAAAATTGCATTCCAATAATAAAAAAAAAAATTCCAAGGTTTCAAGTGGAATTTTAAAAATCCATGAATTGATTTACAATTCTGGATCCAGAAATAAAAACTGCATTCCAAAAATCTAGGTAAGGTTGTAATCATAAGCAAATGGATTTCAACAAAACAAACAAAAATAGGTACAAAAAAATATGCCAACAAACTAAAATTCAGAAAACATTTCAGAATAATGCAAGTAAAATGAAAAAAATCCAAAATCAACAATCCAGCTAATATTTCAAAGATCAAAAAAGCATTCCAGCAATTCAGGTTAAATAATAAAAAAAATAAACATTCCAACTAACGGAATAAAAATATGAGTAATACAAGAAAGCCAAAAAATGAATCTAAACAATCCAAGTCGACTCCATTTCAGCAATCTAAATAAGAACAAAAATCCAAACAACAACATGCCAACAATCCAAAAAAATCTAAAAACTCCTATTTACTATAACATGAGCCGAATGTCTCCTGCAGATGGCAAGAGATGGTGGCACCGGAGGTTTCAGGTAACTGCCAAACTTCTCATCTATAACCGAAATAGTCGGTTCTAACTGATGGTTGTTATTCTGGTTGGAAAATAACAATCGGCGATGATCGGAAACCGCCACACTGCTCCTCGGCTGCTTCAATCGACTCTGAAGACGTTCCGATTGCAGACGAGCGACATGTTCAGGGGACAATTCCTCGAGTGGAAGGTTCCAGATGGAAGACTTTGAGATCGAGGAAAGTTTTTTAAATATATAGTTGAAGTTGTACATTAGACATTTTAGAGGTTATGAATCGATTTTTGTCACTTTGAGGTTTTGGGGCGATTTGACATGCATTAGCCCGCTAACCCGTTTATAGAAATAAGTGTGAGAGCATTTGCTTATCAAAATTCTTGAATCTTTTGAACGGTTCGATTAATTTGAAAAATGTACTCGGCAAATTTATTCTAAATTAAAGAGTCTATACATTGTTTAACCACAAAGACCCTACGCCCTATACCAACTCGTTACAGACAATAGAAACTGGTTCTGTTATTTTATCCACTTTTGCACAAAACTCAAAAAAATGTCAGAAAAAAAAAACAAATCAAAAGCAAAATATTTTACCTGTAAACTTGTATAACTCGAGAATTTCCGACGACTTCCGAACATAAACCCTCGGTCGTTCTCGTTCACGTGCCTGTGACGTAACAGAAGAGCACGCATGATGATGGGCTTGTCGTCTTCCAGAATCAGTTCGTCCACTAACTAGAAAATAAAAGAAAACTCACAATAGAATCGTCAAAAATATTAACAGAACCTTGTTTTTATTAGTTTATCAGAAAAACTGGTGCAGTAATGCGTAACGCATATTATTTTACGAAAAGAAAAGAAGTTAAAATAGATGTCAAAGATGTAAGTACTTTAGTTTTGTTAGTTTAGAAGAAAAATTCTGGATATTCAAACCAATTAGAATGTGTAAATAAACATCTACTTCCTGCATCTACGATTTAAATAAAAATCCACTTTCTAAATCTACGTTTGTATAACAGCACAATTTTTATTAGTAACCAGAAAATTATTTTTTTATCTCACCATCTGTTCTACGATCCTGTAGGCAACTCCTGGTAGATCCTTCTCGTCCAAATCCAACAAAACTGCACCAGTTTCCAAGCATCTTCTCAAATTGAGAAGTGAGTGGAAACTCAAAGAGGCGACGTGTGGACGACCCCATCTGTCGGAACCCTCTTCAACGTTTTCCTCGTATTTGATCCAACGAGCAGTTTCTTTCCATTCTCGATCATCTCCTGTACCGACTAGTTCATCCAATTGCACAAAAACCTAGAAATTGATTCAATAAATTATAGGTTGGAAAAAGATTTACTTGGAGCTGGTGTATATGAATGGTATGAAGATCGTTAGAATTTTTACCTCGTGTGGACTGTGGTCATAAAGTTTCTTCAGAGTTGACTGCGTCAACAGATTAGACAACTTGTGACCTTCTTCTTTGCGTGCGATGTGGACAAAAGAGTTGCTGGATGATCTGGTTGGTTGAATTTTATGTCGGCGGAGCCCTCTGGGATCATCTGACCTGTGATGATAAAAAAAAAAAAGTAGAATTATGTGGGTAACTGTATGATGAGGCTTGAACCCAATTGCTAAAAGAATTTAAGTTGATCCTCGATCTCCTGGATTTTCATTTGTCACCGGCAAAAATTTTTAGATAAAACATAACATCTTGCAATGTTTGTTGATGACTAAGATGAAACCGATAGTAGTAACTACCTGGTTGCTTTTCTAAGTCCATTTATTTCCTTACCTATGTGAAACTAAATCATCCTGGTCGTGTTCTTCCAGCTGTCTATCCTCAGGCTGCATAGATATCCTTCTCGGGGCTCCTGCCGACCCGGAAACCGATCCAGAAGCGGATCCAGTTCCTGATCCAGCTCCGGACAGAACGACTGTGCCGAATCTCTCCGCTCCGGACTGCTTTCTCGCCTCCGGATCCTCCTGGAGGGAATACTTTCTACTTTTGTGATGATGGTGGTGGTGATGTCTCCTGGGAAAAGGAAAAAAATTATAAAATGATTTTCTCAATTATTTCACTTAAGATGATTGGAAACTTCTGTGTTCGGACGTCTTTTCGTTTTATAATATTGGCCATGAAGGTGACAAACCTCAAGGCATTAAGATTTACACGGTATAGTTGCTACCCTTGGTAGAGGAGGTAGCGGAGTGTTTTAATTGAACTAATTGTTCACTTCTAAAAGTAAAATCCGCTTAACAACATGTAAATAACCAATAAAAATAAATATATCTTCTTTCATTATAACTTAGTAACAAATCAGTGATTGTAGTTAGAACTGCAACAAATACATAATATACAAACAAATCAGTGTTTAATACAGTCCACAGCTATAAGGGTTAAATTATAACCCAACAACCTGAATTATCGAAGGAGAGTTTTAATAAATTTTATAACTACGTAACAAAAGTACAGTCTGCAATACAGTACTACAAATTAATATGAATCATACGTTTCGACTTATTATTTTCACAAATTTTAGAAAAATAAAACAAGAAGTATAAACAAATATATTGTTGCAAAAGAGTACTTTTCGACTTCTTGTTTTTACCATCGTGTAATGTTATTGTTATTGAAGAATATGTTAACTTATAAATTCTTCTATCTTCAACTAAATCGTCTCACCTTTTAAAGTCATCCCACAAATCACTAAAGTCCAAAGACATCGCAAATTTCTATATTTATTTTTCTTTCTTTATTTATTTAAAAAACGATAAACAATCATAAATGTTTTTATTTAAAAATAAATAAACTTTACACTTCGGACATCCACTAACGGAATGTTCCTGACTCGTCCGCCACGTTCTGTATCCGAACTGATTTGCAAAGTCAATAAATAAATTGCCTATTACTATTTTTACTTTTCACACTCAGTGAACTGTTTGTTAAATTATTAATATTAGGTTAATTAGTTATTTTAGCGCCATTGTTAATTTAAATAGTTAACTGGAAACTGAAAAACAATATACTGTTATTGTGACAGACGAAGTAAAATATAAACGTTGTATTTAAAAAAAATATTTTTAATTTTCTAATTTTTTAGCCCTTACTATTTCTTTGTGTAATTAAAATTTGTATTGTTCGTTTATGCAATCTTTTAAATATTTTAATATATAGTATTGTAATTAAGACATTTATAAATATATACAAACAAATATTTTCTTTCGAAGTTTTATATCTTTTGTTCGTTTCGAGTTTGTTTCTGGAATTAAAATTTATATTTTCTTTTCTTATATATTATTACATTAACTAATAGTTCAGTATAATTTTTTGCAAAATAAAATAATATATTTATGCACAAATTTCTAACTCTTTTATTTGGATTTCACACCTCATGATCGTTTATATAGTCTTTTGTATATGTAGTTTTTTCAAAAAAAATTATGCTACTTCATTTTTTTTATAAATATTATATTGTTAAACAGTTATAAATATTTATATTAATTTAATGGCAAACTATTGATATTGGACAATAAAAATATAAACTCTTGTAAAAATGAAATCTGCATTTGTAATTAGATAAATTTTAGCGTTTCTAATTAGTAAGTATATAAATCTGAAATATACATTAAAAAATCACAAAATTTTTATTTCTAAATCAGTGGTTTTTACAAAAGTCTTTCGATGCAAACTCGTATGAAAATTATATGTTTATCTATTATAAAAAAATAAGTTGGGTTTTCCTTCCTGACGATATAACTCCAGAACGCACGAACCGATTTCGACGATTTTGCATTCGTTGGAAAGGTCTCGGACTCCGTGAGGTTTATAGCAAAGAAAATTGAAGAAAAATTTCAACAGAAAAGCAGAAAACACTCTTTCTTTTTTCGCATACAGAGTCATCAGTCATCTCTGATACTTAGCATGTACTACAAACTAATATATTTTTTGTTTGATTGTCTACTCAGTTAATTTCATGTGACAAACCGGCATTGTGCTCACTGTGAAATTGTGCAAAAAATGTAAAAAAATAAGTTATTCGTTTCCTAACATTTCAATTGGAAACCATCAAATAAATCACGTGTAATGTGCAAATTTTTATTCAATTTCAACGGCAGGCAATTATTTCCTTCATCTTTTAATCACCAAACGAAATGTTAGATAAAGTGAAACCATCTGGTGGTGAAACGGAGTTCGCCCGGTTTGCTAGTTTTCCTATATTAATTCATTTCACTTTTTTTCTATTCTTATAATTGTGTGAATAATTTTTATATCTTATTTGAAGACGTATTTATTTAAATATTAACTTTTACAGCTGTAGCAACTTTGTCTGTCTGTCGGTTAATATATTTAAAAAGTGTATAAATGGTTTTGCAAATTGTTGCAACAATTATATTGAAACTTGTGATATAAAACAAAACTTTAGTTTTATATTAGCTTACTTGAATTATTTATAACTAGAACTACTAATAGTTATATTTATTAAAAATTAAATAAAAATTAATAAAACTGTACACTTCAACAACGCACTTCTTAGTTTATAAGCCACACAAGATTTTTGTATATAAATCAAAACTTAAACTATTCAAACAACTATGAATTATCAATCTTTATAAATCAATTTCGAACTGATTTTATTACAAAAAAACATTTTCACTTGTTTTTTCCACAAAATCAGCATTTCTAAAATTTTCTTTCGCATGGTAACAATACCGGCAAATGTCACAGACTGAAAAATTTGTAGCTACAATAAAGCTGTAGTTGTCAAAAGGCTACAAATAGATTTTTGTCATTCAAAAATACTTTTAGTTTTTGGCACCCATTACAGAGACAATTGTCTAAAAAAATTTGGCACTTTGTGCATTTTTATCTTTTATTTCCGGCGTAGAAAATATATAAGTAGCATTGCTAGACAACTGTAGTTTTAAATGATGTAATGAACTTTGATGAGCTCTTCAGCACGTGCTGTATGTATTACAAAGTTAAAACATAATTACCTCCTCGCCATGATCGACTCCAAATCCATAGAATGAAAATTATATTTCGGATTTCTATACACTTTTGCAATTTTTCAAAGTAATCCACTTTGTCATCATTTTCACGTATTTTTTCATAATTATCCATTTTTAATTAATCGTAATTAAACAGTAATTGAAAGAAACTAATAATAAAACATTAAAAACCTAATTTAACAAAAAAATTTAATAAGATTTTTTTTATATATTTTTATAATTTAAAATTAATTATTATTTATTTAAAAATCAAAATCAAAAATATTAATGAATTGTATCAATTAATTTACAAAATTATTTGTAATTAATTTTAATGTCAATAAATTATGAAAACAATGAATTAAATTAATTTTTTAATTAATATAAATTACATTAATTAATTATCGAATATCAAGTATAAAATGTGTATTAAAATCAATTAATTAAATTAATATTATAATTGATAATTTAACAAGTTTAATTATTAATAATATAGTGTGAATATCAAATTAATTAACTATAACTAATTAATTAACTATTAACAACGTTTAATTTAATTAATATTTGTATTTTTTATTTAACTAAGCACGAACTAATTGTATTTAATTAAAAACACAGCAAAACAACTAATTTATAATTCAACTAATTAAATTAATGTTAAAATTATTACTAATTTAATTTTAATTAACTGTCACTAATTAATTACAACTTAACGATGAATAATTTTTCTACATAATCACTGTTGCTAATTAAATTAAATACTGATTGTAAAAAGAATAATACCGATAATTAAATTAACTAAAAAATCATTATCGATAAAAATAATCGATGCCGATTGATCGATTGAAATAAAAATGTTTGTCGGAGTGATAAAGAGTGATAAGGATGACATTTTGGACAGAGATTGCAAATTAATTATAGAATTATTTAAAAATAACACTGTTGCAATCGAGTCGGTCGCCGATAGCTAATTGGATGTATCATGGACTGAACTGTCTTGGAAAAATATTTTTAATCTGTAAAAATTGATATCACTGCTGCATGATGCCAGGTTATCCAAAGCGGGGTTCGAACCCACAACCCTGTCCATACAAGGCAGCGTGCTTAACCGTTATAAAGTTATAAAGGAAGACCTTTATATTAGTTGTATAAATTGAAGCAAATGTATTATTTTTTTCAAAAATACCATCGTTCAAATTGAGCAAGCCGCATCTGATTCGTGAAATTAATTAATTCCGGAGATAACAAAATAATTGTACAATTTTTGTTAACACTTAGTATCTGTCGCTGATTGCTGATTGGTTGTTTGCAACAACACTAACTAAGTTGTCATGGCATCGGTTCAAAGTTATAAAATTTATGAACGAGATTTGTGGCGTCTATCTTTCAATATTGAAATAATAAGTTATGTAATTTACTTTTGGCAAGTTGTCACATTAATGTATATATAAATTTTCTGCCAAATACATTAACCTTGACCCTGCACGTTTGTCTTTGGCATCTTTTCAAATATATATATTACGCAGGCAACTAAGTAAGTTCGGCTTTCACTCTTAGATGGTTTAAATTGAATTTTTAGGTTTACTGTTTGGACAAAATTGTTTGTCACATTTCTCTTATGTAATGTCAAATGTAATGTTATATTTATTTGTAATTCAAATGTCCCGCCATTACTACTAGTGACGTTGGCGATACTGTTCCCCTACTCTATGTATCCGCCATCTTATATTTATGTTTATGTTAAAACTATGTAAAACAACTCTCTTCTTGCTGAACCGTGGAACAAGTAACATTTAAAATAAACTGAGTAATTTTAAAGAAAGCATTTTTTCATTATACCACTGTTTACCAACGTAGTCCAAATCTATATTTTTTGTTATTGGATAGTAGACAAATCAAATTTCAATCTGTCAAAAAGAGTTTTTTTATCAATTGTGTAATTTTTGTTTGGCGTACGTTGAAGGATGAAAAATAAAA